ATTAAAAAGATAGACCATAGCAAACCTACTTGGCACGCAATTTTACTATTATAAGTTCCATTTCGAAGATGGAGAAACTGAGGCTGAGAAGTCAGTGCCAACTCCTTCCCACGCTCTCTGTGATTTTTGTAGCATCCTTGGCATCCCAAGAATCAGGGTCCTCCTGGAGGCAGTGTCAAGGCCACAAAGAAGTTATGGGCACTCCACCAGAGGAGTAAGCAGGTGTTCAATCTGAAGCCCTCCACTCTTGCTGTGGGGTGATGGCCTTCAGGTTGAACGAGACTTCGAAGCCTTTAAAAGCTTGTGAACCTAAGCTGCATCTCTCTGTCCTTCTGCACTTCCCCCTTGAATGAGCTCATGGTTCTGTGAGCCGGCCTGGACTTCAAGATCAATGTCACATTTAACCTGACAAGGCCTGGAGACTCACCTTCCTGTGACAAAATGCAGTCTTACTCGCTGAGCTAAAGTACAGAGCTGGTGTCATGTCAGTAGAAAGTCAGAAGCATAGGAAGGTTTGGGTGTTACTTTTCAAGTTGTTGATTGTGTACAAGGAGAAGCTTTTTTTTTTTTTTGCTATCCTATTGCTGCAGACCGTCATTACCTAGAGAAGACAGATTTCAGCCAAAGAATTATATTAAATATTGCCTCACGCCAGATTTCCACTCATAAAGCAGCAGTGGGTTCCATTAAAGGATGAACTCTACTCCCTCAGCTGACAGCTGATTAATGTGTTAATTAGAAGCCTCCCCCTCCCCCCAAGTCGCCCAAACCTCCTAACCCAGAAGAATATATATATTGTACCATGTGCGTAACCTAGTGGCTTATATTCTGTGGTTCTGACCATGGGCACTAAAGTGAAAAAGAAGTCTCGGTTGCCAACATGAATAGCTTGCCTTCTTCCTAGAGCTCTGAAGAACTCATAGGATCCCCAAGCCATGCCTTGATAGCAGGGATAGCTTTGCTTAGGCACTGTCTTTTGAGCAGTGGAGCAGTGTAGATTGCCACACATGTATTTCACAGGAAAGGAGTGATGCCATCAGACCACGGGAACTTATAAGTACTGCCCTGGCAGTCGGCCACCAAAGTGGACCAAAGGAAATGTTCCTTCTTTTGTGTAGAATTGGACCCATCTCAGGAAAATAAACAGTCTTCTGGGGGGGCTGTTGTGCTGAGGTTGTGGGGAGCACACATGTTTGTCTCCTTTTTGATCTTACTGTCTAGCTGGTGACCCGCAATGTATTTGTGATCTGAACCATCTCTACAATCCTGCTCAGTGGCTTCTGCTGTCTGGTCCCCAGACTGGCACTGTAAAACAGCAGCATCCTAGGACCAATCTAGGACCTGTTGGGGAGAGAAGGGCAACCAGACAAGCCAGACTCCAGCAGAAGCCAAGCAGTGATGGAATCGTGCAAATCACTGCTGAGTGACATGGTTGGACTCATATTAAAATGTCTGAAGGAATTTTGGTATTTCTTTGTATAGTGTTGGAGGGGATCTCAAAAATTAAAATAATAATATAATAGAATTTAAATCTGTCTCCGAAGAAGGGGAAAGCAGAATACAAAACCTTTAGCTTGTGAGCTGCTCGCTGTGTGCTTTTGCATATGCAAATGTTACTTTATTAAAGAGAGGTGTGGTATATATTTTCACGTAACTACCATGGCTTAAATGATCAGCTTGGGCTTCTATGATGAAACCTTTAATTACAGAAGTGTAGTTAGCTGGACGTGGGGTGAGTAACGGCGCTGGGTTTTACTGCCACACATGACGTAGCCATTTGCTCCATGAATCCATTGACCGAATCGTGAGTGACACGGCCTGTGACACACACGTGATTCATTATTTCTTAAGTGACAGGTTTTTTTTTCCTTTCCTTCTAATAATCTTTTGCTTCATTGGAAAAATTACTTTCCCATATTTTTAGGTCGGTGTTCTGAACTGAACTGTAAATAAAGCCTTGTTACAGTCGGGCCCACAGCACCCCAAAACGAGACAGTCAGGCCACCCTGAAATGGAGGTACTTTCAAAGGCTTCGGGAAAACCAACGATAGGATTAGGCCTTTGCTTTTATGGAAGAGTTCAGGAAGATTGGATGTTGCTTTCGATGTCTGTAATTATTTTTGTGTGGATGAAATATGGTGGCAAATTCTTATTTGATCATTAGGATGGTCCATGAGCATTGTTTACTAACAATTATTAAACGTGAAGGGAAAATTGTTAAGTTATATTTAGATTTTTTTTTTTTACCCTGCTTGAAAAAATATTTATCTTGTTTGAGGAGACAGGAATCCTCTGGAGGCTATAAAAAGAAAAAGAAAAAAGAAAAGAATAGAAAAAAGAAATCTGGCAGTTTTAAACCCAATTAATGATTTCACAAAACTTTTCCCTCCTATTGTTAAAGAGTAAGATCCAAAGGACACATGCCAGAAAAGTTATGTGTTATTTTAATTAGTTTAAGTCACTGATGGTGGGTTTTTTTTTTCAGTTCATAAAGAAAGAAGCTAGGTTTGGTCCCTCAGTTCTGACTTACACATTTATAGTTTAGGCTTGCTATGTATGCATGCTATTAAAACAGAAGCAGGTAGTTTGTTTCACAGTGGACTTTAAATGCTACATGATTATATATTAACTTTTTTTTTTTTTTGAGACAGAAGCTCACTTTGTAGCCCTAGCAGTTCTTGAACTCACTCTGTAGACCAGTCTGGAGTTAAACTCACAGAACGTCTCCTGCCTCTGTCACCCAAGGGCTGAGATTAGTTGTCACTTTAACGTTATCTGAATATCATGTTTTCACTAACAGTTTACTTAACCTTAATCTAGACAAGAAATGTGAAGGTCACTGGGCTTGGTGGTGTACGCCTTTAATCTCAGTGCTAGGCAGGCAGAAGCAGGCAGATCTCTCTGAGTTCAAGCCCAGCCTGGTCTACAAATCCCAGGACTGCTAGGACTATCACACAGAGAAATCCTGTTTTGAAAAACAAACAAATGAAGACATGTGATGGTTTGACGTGTTTTGTGGACAGTATTCATGGATTTATAACCAAATGTCCTGCCAGGAGGGCCCTAAAACACTGCCAATGAGAGAAAGCAGACCTGAGCATTGGGATAATTACGTTTTAACCACTTTAATGGCTCCTGGTGGGAACAGTTCTGATAGCCATATTGCAGGAATTTCTCCTTCATCAAAATCCACTCAAGAGTGTTCTTATGTCAGATTTTTAGAAGTATTTGAAAAGGACAAACAAAAACCAGTTTGTGCCTAAGCAGGTATCTTATTCAATCTCACACTGTCAAGATTATCAGCCAAAAATATCAATAAAAAAAACTCACCGAGAAGCACACGCAAACCCACATCTGCTTCCTACGCACCCATGATCGCACACTAGCGTGTCGCCACTGTTTACAGCAGGGGAAGCTAACAGTTAGATGAGAGGCGTAATCAAATGCCCAACATATGTTGTTTGTGCATTGCTTATGTGACCAGTCATTATTAAAATATATCTTTTAATCATATCAGTTTATGATCATTAAGCATACACGCGCGCGCACACACACACACACACACACACACACACACACGTGCATTCACACAGCAGTAGAACACTCTTTGAAATCAAAGTCTCTCTTAGAATAGCACTATAGCCATTGCTAAACTGCAGGGAGAAGGGTTCAATACATTCAGAACAATGCTGAGTTGTTCAATCCCTTCTCTGATGCTACAGGAGTGATAAAGAAGGAAGAAGAAAGAAAAAAATGTGTGTGTAAAATTCTGTCAGGAACAGCGAGGGACTAGAAGAACTATTGAAAATTTTGACATCTGTTTATCTGTTTATAGCGATGGCAAGATCACTCATATTAATTCTTGTTTAAAATGCCATATGAAGGGAAGACACTTGTGCAAACAAGACTCATATTTGAATTGTAGATCATGTCTTTGCCATCTGTGAGAGCTGATGGTGTTGCAAAATTAATGTGTTAATGAAATCACAATAATTTCTCCAAAGTAATGGGTTCTGAAGCCGAGAAGGACTATTTTTTGAACTTTGGTGTCTAGTGATTTCCAATTGGGAAAGCATCTGAGCCTTTAATTAGCTCTGCAGCCCAGCTTTAAAATAAATTTGGTGATATCTTTCTTTTGCCAGGAGTAGATGCGAAGGGGGAGGGGAGGGGTGGAAGCCATAACAACTTTTGGAAAGTGTTCTCTGGTGTTTGAAAAGTTGTTAAATAAGACTGTCTGCCAAGAAATGTCACCAAAATTCTGACTGCCGAGAAAGAGTGGGCAAACAGCTCAAAAAATAATTCTAGCTTGCTGCAACATCACGGGTTGGGAGAGCAGAGCCTCACACAGACTTCATGACTAAGTCCAAGTTTCTCCTTGGAAGCCAGACATCACAGCGTTCAGCGTGTTATGTGATTGGTTAGCATAGCACACCCCCTCCATCCACCTTATTGGATACAGAGAGGGGCACAGTGGCTTTGCCTAAGGAGAATTTTAAGAGGCTATGTTGCATGATCATTGAACTCCTGGAGATTCCTTCCCTCCAGCGTTATTTAGATATGTATTTCCATGAGCCTGTTAGGCTGAAACTATGAAGGCAAGTGTACTGAGTAGGTCTCCTAAGAAATGTACTAGGCAGGTGTACTTCATAAGAGTTCTAGGTGAGTGTCCTGGGCAGGTAGGTGTACTGGGTAAGTGTCCTGGACAAGTGTACTCCATTTTGTCAGCGTCATCTTTGAAGTCGTTTCTAAACTGTCAATACAGTTTTTTGAAAGGGGGGAAAAAAGAGAATGTGGTTGTTACTAATTTTGAGGATCCTATTTATAAAGCAAATCCTTTATTTCATAAACTTTTCAGGAATGTACCCTGTAAAGGGTACCCTTCAACTTATTTGGAGAAATTATGGTAAAGTTTAATAGAGCCTTTATGTGAAACATGAAATGCCATGTATCCAAGAAAGTTGCTTATCTTACCTGTTGTGGTTTCTATTGCTGTGTTGTAGGTGTGTGACTGGTGTAAACACATAAGGCACACAAAAGAATACCTGGATTTTGGGGACGGGGAAAGAAGGCTTCAGTTCTGCAGTGCAAAATGTCTCAATCAATACAAAATGGACATTTTCTACAAAGAGACACAGGCCAATCTTCCAGCTGGGCTGTGCGGCACGTTACACCCTCACATGGAGAGTAAAGCAGAAGGCACCGGGGTGCAGCTGCTCACTCCAGACTCTTGGAATATCCCGCTAACAGATGCTCGGAGGAAAGCCCCCTCCCCCGTGGCTGCAGCTGGCCAAAGCCAGGGCCCTGGCCCATCCTCATCCACCACCGTTTCTCCATCTGACACTGCCAACTGCTCTGTCACTAAAATCCCCACGCCAGTGCCCAAGTCCCTCCCCATCAGCGAGACTCCAAGCATCCCTCCTGTCTCAGTCCAGCCACCTGCTAGCATCGGACCTCCGCTGGGTGTCCCTCCTCGCAGTCCTCCCATGGTGATGACCAACCGCGGCCCAGTGCCCCTGCCCATCTTCATGGAGCAGCAGATCATCCAGCAGATCCGTCCGCCCTTCATCCGCGGGCCACCGCACCACGCCTCCAACCCCAATAGCCCCTTGTCCAACCCCATGCTCCCGGGCATTGGGCCCCCGCCCGGTGCCCCCAGGAACCTAGGCCCCACTTCCAGCCCCATGCACCGGCCTATGCTATCGCCCCACATCCACCCACCAAGTACCCCTACCATGCCTGGGAACCCCCCAGGGCTGCTGCCCCCGCCGCCCCCGGGCGCGCCCTTGCCCAGCCTTCCCTTCCCTCCGGTAAGCATGATGCCAAACGGCCCGATGCCGGTTCCCCAGATGATGAACTTCGGGCTGCCATCGCTGGCCCCGCTGGTGCCGCCCCCCACGCTGCTCGTGCCGTACCCAGTGATCGTGCCCCTGCCGGTGCCCATCCCTATCCCGATCCCCATTCCCCACGTGAACGATTCCAAGCCCCCGAACGGATTTTCTAGCAATGGGGAGAGCTTCGTTCCGAGCGCCCCGGGCGACTCCTCGGCGACGGGAGGCAAGACTGGTGGACGCTCCCTGTCCCCGCGGGACTCCAAGCAGGGCTCTTCCAAGTCGGCCGACTCGCCGCCCGGAAGCTCCGGCCAGGCTCTGAGCCTGGCGCCCGCGGAGCGCGGTCGTGGGGAGGTGGTGGACCTGACCCGGCGCGCGGGCAGCCCCGCGGGCGCGGGAGGCCAGCCGGGCTTCGCGGGTGTGCTGCACGGCCCGCAGGACGGTGTCATCGACCTGACCGTGGGCCACCGAGCCCGGCTGCACAACGTGATCCACCGCGCGCTGCACGCTCACGTCAAGGCGGAGCGCGAGCCGGGAGCCGCGGAGCGCAGGACCTGCGGCGGCTGCAGGGACGGCCACTGCAGCCCGCCCGCCGCCGGCGACCCGGGCCCCGGCGCCCCCGCGGGCCCCGAGGCTGCCGCTGCCTGCAACGTCATCGTGAACGGCACCCGGAGCGCCCCGGCCGAGGCCAAGGGCGCGGAGCCCCCGCCCGAGCAGCCGCCGCCCGCCCCTCCCAAAAAACTACTGTCGCCCGAGGAGCCCGCGGTGAACGAGCTGGAGTCAGTCAAGGAGAACAACTGCGCTTCCAACTGCCACCTTGACGGGGAGGCGACCAAAAAACTGATGGGGGAGGAAGCCCTGGCAGGGGGCGACAAGTCGGACCCGAACCTCAATAACCCCGCGGACGAGGACCACGCCTATGCTCTGCGGATGCTGCCCAAGACCGGCTGCGTGATCCAGCCTGTGCCAAAACCCGCGGAGAAGGTTGCCATGACGCCGTGCGTCATCTCCTCGCCCATGCTCAGCGCTGGCCCCGAGGACCTGGAGCCGCCGCTCAAAAGGAGGTGCCTCCGAATTAGAAACCAGAATAAGTAAAAAAAAAAAAAAAAAAAAGGTTTGTATGTCCACCTGGGTGCTCCTCCAAGAGACAGTGCCCCTCGCCTTGCTTCTTAGAAGGCGGAGGTGAGATGCAACCGTCACCGTGCTGTCCCTTACCGCTTTCTCCGTGCACTTTGGGTGGCCAGGTACCATCGACGGTTTGATCCAACACCTATGACAGCTGGCAGTATGGTTTAGTACACCATTACCGGTTTACAGCCGAGAGACAGTTAAGAGCCAAAAATCACTCAAGCCGTTGAACCCGAGTTGAAAGCACACGCTCTTTTGTTACACGCTGTTTTCTGTTCTTCGGGTTCATACCTAATTTATCCAACTGGGCTAAGGGGCGTGGGAGGGAAGGCTACTTGAGGAAAATAATGTTCAGTTAGGAGGTTGCAGGGCAGTATTGAAATGTCTGGGTAACCCATCAGGGGGCAAGCATCTAGAGCTAGTAGTCCCTTTGGCAGACTCTTACTCTAGCTTCTCAAGATGACCATATCTGTGAGCTAAAATGAAAACCTAGCCTTCCGGGCAACCTGCCACGCCCCCTTTCGTTACTCAGTGGCTGAGGTGATGAGTCCCACCTCTACATTTAGACCTTGATGAAGCGGGAGGCACTTCTCTGTGTCCTATGACGGCTGTACCCCGCTTACTACCCAGCAAGATGACGAGGACCGCATGTGAGCCACTGTAGCGACTCTTGCCAATCCTAGTGGAGTAGCATCGGTAGCATACTACCAAGAAGGAAGTGGTGGCTTAGAGATATTTGCTCAGTCAGAGCTTGTCGGTGGAGGACCCAGTGTTGACTTCAGGCCTGTCCATCCAGTCTCAGAGCGTGATCTCTCCCATCTACCCAAGCAGGCAACAAGCCAAAACTTAGGTTCTGTATTAACCAATTATAGAAAGGAAAGGAGAAATGGGTATTCCTCCAGCATTTAACCTAGACGCTGCTCATTCCGGGGCCTGGAGACACAGGCTGGGCTGCATCATAGTAGGTACACTACGTCCTATCACCACAGGGAATGTAAACCCAGGCAGGAAGGAGGTCTGGGGGAGGGGAGGCAGGAAGAGTATTCTTCACAGGGTATGCAGGCTCTTCTGAGTGTTTTCCCCTAGTATTTCTTTGGAGTTAGATAGGTTAGATGGTCTCCTGGTAGAGAAATAGGATTGAGGAACTTGTCCAAGATTATCTAACCTGTGAGCAGAGTTGCGATTCAAATCCAAGTTGTGAAGTCCAAAGCTTAGTTTCCTTTCAACCACTGTAGGAGAATCAGCTAACCAGTCCGTCCATCGCACATTTACAAAAATTCTCTTATCACCTTGAGGGAAAGAAAGTTCCCTCAACACAGCAGCAAGCCTCCACTTGCCAACATGCCCAGTTTACACGCTCCTAGACCACCAACCTGTTGACTTCATAGTGGGAACATGGGTGCTTCACTTACAGCCGGAGTGGAAGCCCTGAACCAGAGCAGAAGGCCTGAACCAGAGCAGAAGGCCTATTGGCTAGTGTGAGAATCTTTTCTTGGCCACCATGGTTTGAGATCTTCTTTTCTACCAGTGGCTTTGCCTGTGGGAGCAGAACACCAGAGTTGAGGTCACCACACCTTCCCCATTAGCCTACAATGTCTTCAGTCTGAAGGCAGGGAGCCTTGGCCTTCTCACAGACATGCCAACTGAAAATGCCCCCAAATAACTTAATCTGCTTGACAATGCTTTAGTGAAGGATTGACAAGTGACTCCTCCCCCGAAAAAGTGAGCACCTTCAGAAAGCACTGGAAATTGTCACTTACACACACACACACACACACTCACACACACACACACACACACACACAAACACACACACACACACACTCCAGGAAGAATGGGAGGGTGAAAGATCTCACTGCCATTACTGTGCTGAGAGACCAGGACAGGGATAGTGACACACCCTATAAGTATCCGAAGACCCAAAGGTCATCAGCAGTATCCATTGTATGAATGGCTGTTTGGGTGACCTATGTTTCTGAAGGAGTCATCGGCCAAAGGAAGTTTTTGTGGATCAGAATCACTACTAAAAATGTTACCTTGGCAACAGCCAAGCCTAGAAGAAGTTGTGACCAAATTGTCTCTTGTAATCGGAGAGTCCCTTTTATTGTGGGTCTCCCAAGAAATTACAGCTTCTTTTGAAAGTCGGTTATAGGTTTTGAGGGCTGTCAAGAGGATGCAAGGCAAAAGACTTAAGGGGGTGGGGAACCATGTCTCCAGTAAGTCAACAGGGCACCCAAGTAGATCGCTGGTCCCATGTCACCTCAGGGCACAGCTTCTACCTGCTGTAATCTACTCTCTGGCCCTTCTGTTTCCTGCACACAGATGGTGCTGCCTTTGCTCTAACCCTCAGGAACTGATGTGTTTGGGGAAGTTGGAAATACATCTATGAACTAAGGACTGTGTGCCTTTTGTGCCCTAATAGTGAGCACTCCTTGGCAACAAGTTAAAGCCAAAATGAAAGCATTAAAAGAATAAAATAAATAAAAGCAAGGGCTGAAGAGATGCCTCGTTGGGTGGAGCACTTGTCACAGAAGCACAGGGATCCCCAGCCCCACGTAAAATGTGACATGCCATGGTGCAAAGCTGTGAATCCCCAGCCCCATGTAAAAAACAACATGTCACAGTGGGAACCTGTGAATCCCAGTACTGGCAGTCAAGGATGGGATCGTTGTGCAGGTCTTGCTGGACACCCATATGCCTAAATCAGTTGCCACACCTTTATCATACCACGCCATAATTTTGAAGAATACATTGCAAAATCCATGAGCCACTAAATTTGCCTTCAAAGAACTCGACACATTGGTCAGATCTCAGCAGACTGCAGACTCCTTCCCCCATTTTGAAATTATTCTGTCCCTGCTTTCCCAACTTTACTTGTTCTTGTTTGTGCGTATGGTTACAAATGATTCCAACGGCCAGATGTTTCTCCCATATGCAGAACTGATTAAGTTTAGTTGAAGATTTTTAGAAGGTTGTAAACTTTCTTTAATCGCCAATGTTTAAAGCTAGGAATACCAGTCCTGCTGCCTCAGTAGCTAGAAAAAAAATCCCCACAAATAATAATGAAAACAATATTTGAACACTGTCTAAACTATTCTCCCCACACAGAATTCCATTGGTAAATGGACTATTCCCTCCTTTGCCGATGCCTGGAAGCTTACTGGGTAGCTGTCTGAACTCAGAGGGATGTTTGTACTAGAATCTTTACAGTTTACACTTATTTATGGTACATCGGGGAGTTCAGAGTAACCATGTGTAAATTTTTTAAGATATTCAAAGAAAATTTCCTCATTCCTTGGTTTTCCAGGGAAATAGCATTTTAACGAAAAAATCACTGGAAAAAATGAAAACCAGGAATAAATAACCCTTTCACCCCCATTCTTTTTGCACTCCTGGAGCAGTAGAACCACACAGTTCCCTCTGTTCTGTGCTTCTTCAGTCTCTTACATGTTTCTAAAACTGTAGAAATGGGCAGAGAGAATACATGATTCTTCATTCCTGGTCCAAATCCCACAAGGTGCCTCCATGCTCAGCAGTGGAGGATACTCTTTGCATTTGAAGAAAGCTGGAGGAGGTTCACATAATTTGGGCTTCTTGGAGCTTAGTCTGGTCATATAGCCACAGCCCCAAAGCACTGGTTCAAATCATAGGGTTCACTTCACTGGGGACGCCAAAAAGGAGGTGATAAGGTACTCATTGCCGGATTTGTTTCTCACACTGAAAAATCCAAGACAATAGCCTCTCTTGGAGGGCATGGGAAAGTCAGAATAAAACCATGGATTCCCACTTCTAAAGAAAAGAAAAACTGTAACAGAGTGGAGAGAAGAAGTTGGTACAAGTGGGAATTCTCCATCCCTAGGCTGGACCTGGGCCTTTCATGCTGAAGTATTTAATGATTAGAAATACCCACTGGGTGACAGTACCTGAATTAAAGGTCATCCTAGCCCTCATTTTCACTTGGATGGAAGGGCTATAAAGAGCCACTGAAAGCCACCAGGCTGATGCGTCGACACCTGGAACTGGTGAGTACATATAGGACAGAGCTGGGATGATCACCAGCTTTCTGAAAGAACAGTGGCGAGACAAAGCACAGATCTGTTTATCCAGAGAACTCCCCCACCGCCTGTATCCTTAGTACCAGGGGTTTGTAAAGGGAGGGACCTTCATATGCAACTTTTAAATACTATGTCAGTGAGGTTCGGATGGAAGATGGAGTAACGTGTGACCAGGTGGTTAGTGCTTTGGGACAAAGCCATAACCTTGTCATTAGAGAAGTACCAGAACTGAACTGAGACAAGAGAAACATTTGGGGCACAACCTTGCAAGAGGGACCCACTCTGTCCTGTAAATGTGGTGGCACTCTGTCCTGTAAATGTGGTACCACTCCCCAGATCTTCAAACCCCACTCCAAAGTTGGTCTCCTTTCCCCTGGACTGATCCTGTGAGAATATATAGAAAGTTTTATGAGCTCACTCATTGTTTGGGGCTGTTGAGTCCATAGATTTGGAATCCATCTACCTCTGAAGGATTATCTTGCATAGTTAGTAAGCAATATCTGGAACTGGATTTTTTTTCTCGTTGCTCCAAGGGGGCTGAGTTAATTACCAGTTAAAAATAAGAAGTTTTTTTTTTTTTTGGCAGCTTTTGCCATGGACCTAATGTCACAAAGCCACATTTACTAAATACCTTTAAATGATTACTTCAGTGACACAATACAAAAAGTTAAAGCTACCATATCCAGCTGAGGGTCTGTGATGACAGAAAGAAAGTAAAGCAAGAGAAGATACAAGCCAGATAATACCTGGGCACCTGAGCGCCCAGAGTTAATATAGTATGGGAGATGCCATCTTATGGGACAATGTTACTGAGACCAAGGGAAGAGGCTGGCTGGAGTCATAGAAGTGGACAGGTGAGTGAAACTGGCATGGGGGGCAGGATAGAAGATTGGAGAGAGTGCCCCAGTTCCC